TGTATTGCATATTATAAATTAATTAAAGAGAGAGGAGTTAGTTATAAGTACTTATATAAATTGTTAAAAATTATGCGAATTTTAAACTTACTATCTATTTAATGAGCATTACAAATGATGAAATTAATTAGAAAAACAAATTGCAGTTACACAAATTCATATGTAAAATTCATATAAACTTACTTAGTACTGGTACTAATAATTTACAAGACAATTAGTAATAATTTATCTAACATGTTATATCTAAAATCACTGTTCATATTTTATACTTACCATCTAAAATTAAAATGATCGAAAAAATATGATTAATTAAGATAAATATTCACGAGAAATGTAATTTGTGCAATTAAAATTTATATTTACCATGGACTAAAAAAAAATGTAAAACAAATAAAAAAATGGAAGATTATTAATATTATTCACGAGAAATGTAATGAAATTTTATACAATTAAACTTTATACTCACTTACGACTAAAATATATAAGTCGTTGATAGAGTTAATTAAAAAAATTTTTGTCAATGTTATAATTCAAATAATTTATAATTTAAATGATATAATAACACCATACTCACCAAAACCTGATCGTTAAAATAATAATTTGATAGGAAATGCATTAGTAAATTTTAGAGAAGGTGATTTGAGAAAAACGACTTGAAGATGAATAAATAATTTAAAGTGGTATAATAAATTAAACACATGCTCACCATCTAATCGTTAAGAAAATAGTTTAATACATTAATAATTTTTAGGGAAGACAGTGTGAGAAAGATGAATAAATAATTTAAAGTGGTATAATAAAACTACACGTATGCTCACCATCTAATCGTTAAAATAATAATTTAATACATTAATAAATTTTAGAGAAGATGGTTTGAGAAAACCGATTTGAAGATAAATAATTTAAAGTGATATAATAAAACTAAACATACCTCCATCTAATTATTAAAATAATAATTTAATAGGATATGCATTAATAAATTTAAAAAAAGACAGTTCGGGAAACGATTTGAAGATGAATAATTTAAATAAAGTGGTATAATAAAAATATGCTCACCATTATGTTTCCCATGAGGATCATCTAATCGTTAAGATAATTTGGTAGAATAAGCATTAATAAATTTTAGAGATGTGTTAAGAAAAGCGGTTTAAATTTATAAAATGATTAGAAGCCTTAACACAAAATAAAATTTCAAATTGATATTATACGCACCATCACCGCTAGGAACAGGACTAGCCATAGTAACAATTGGGAGAATAACAAGGAAAACGAACAAAAGGAAAGTAATTTTGGAATGCATTGTTTAAGGTGTTGTAGTAATGTTTTTATTGAAGGGATATCGAAGGAGATTGAAGAGATATCGAAGGATATTGAAGGAAGATTGAAGGGATAACGAAGGAGATTGAAGAGAAGAAATGGATTGAAGAGGATTAAAGGAGATTATTTAAAATGTAGATATCAAAGGAATTTTTATTTTTTGGGACGAATATTCACATCGTATTTTTGCACCTGTATTTATAGCTATCAAAAACATATAGTAGGTATACTTTGAACTTTGCGATTGACTTCGAAATTGTACTATTAACACTATACATCTTACATTTAAGAGAAAATTTTTTCCAAAAACGTAATTCAAGCAAGCGTGTAACAAAATTTCTTATTCAATTCAGCAATAAACTGAATTGGCAATAGGGTCAATGAAGAACCTTAATGGAAATCAATGGATACTTATCAATTGAGCACCATCATGCTTTTCTCAATTGGTGTCAAATTGCCAACCTATTAATGAGGAAAATTGTGATAAACAGTCTTACATACCTACCTTATATGACAGTTATTGATTCTTTTATGACGCTTAAGGATGTTAATAGAATGAACTAATAATTAATTATCGTAATAATACCAAATTTACTTCATGTTCTATGTAACTAAACTGCGTATAAAATATGGTGATTGGTCACCATATGGATCTCATGGAGAAGTCGTCTAAAACTTGTAGTATTTTATATGTGCCAGGTGACTTTCAATTTAAAAACCGATTAGCAATCTATTTAAAAACTACCTGGCTCTAGACTATCTTCATATGGAATGAAAAATCCGGATAACTTGTCTGTATTGCTTATCTATTCAGATCCAATTACTAACCAAGTCAAGTCAATGGCCTAAGTCATAATTTTTTTATTCATATACTTTTGGTCATAGGCCATATTTGCCATGTGGAATACTAGTAAAAAAATTTTTTTGAATATAATTGGCTGCAATAAACGGTCATAAAAAACCCATTCAGATTCATTAAAGTCATTGGATAACACTGAGCCAATAATTTCATTATCAAAAATTTATAGAATTACAAAAGGATAAATTTATATTCATTACTAATTATAGTACATTATACGTATAGTTTATTATTTAGATATATCAAAAAAGTTAGATGTAAACAAATTATCGTAATAATTTCTACGTATATATCATTATTTATGCATGTAATTTAGTAGCATCAATGTATATTGATTGTATAATCACATACGTACGTCGTTGAGATACAAATCCAGGGCACCCCTTGTGATTTTTGCATGCATGAATCGATAATTTTCTTCCGTGCACATGCACAGATTCCAATTAGATGCGACTACGTACATGTGCATGCATGTACGCAGGTCTTTGGATACACATATGTCAAGCAAATTCCGAACCTTCGGCCTAAAAATTTTAAGTCAAAAACTGTATATCAAAGTTTTCCAATATCTTTGGTATTTTAAATGCATCTTGTAACTAAAATTTCATGCGGGAAACTTTTGCTTAAAGGTCGGAAGTTAGTTGTCATAGTAAAATTTTGTGCTATTTACAATTCCTTATGTTTCTTTCGCTTGGTTTGTTACACAAAATCTTACAAATTTTTAGTTCGGAAGTGATCTTCAGCGGGAATGCCCTAAGTCTTTTACTAGAACGATTTGTGAAAGTTTAGCTTAATGAAATAATGAACTAATGAATTATAATAACAATAATTAAAATTAGAGCTGAATTTAATGATATAAATGATTCAATGCCTAAAACTATAATATATTTGTACTTGCTATTCTCGTTTTGTTATATTACGCATAAACTTTATCTATACTAGAGTTGCTGGTGAAACTGGTGAAACTTGGTGAAACTGGTGACTATCTAAAATATGATTGGCTATTGAATGCAATAGCCAATCAGATTTCAGATAGTCACCAGTTTCACCAGTGTGATTTAGTTTCACCTGCAGCTCTAATCTATACCATAATTCGACAATTAATTCGTTTATACTTCCGGATAGCTCGAGTCTAGCAACGTTGAGTAACTGAATAACGTCGAATACCATTATTTTCAATAATCGCAACTAGGCAGTAATCAACATGTTTATAGCCATTCTATCATATAATATTTTTACACAATTAGTGGGCAATGATTTATTAGTAAAAATTATGTGATTTTATTTTATTAATGCCGACCCAACTGATAAGTCCGAATCAGAGATTTTAGTAAGATGAGTTGCTAGACTTATACATTTATATAAATTGCTAAGTTAAGACTATGGCTTCCTTTTTTCAGAAGTTTTATTGCAAGGACTAATCTTGTATACAATTCTTATACAAAAAGATGTTTTTAGATTTTTTATATCCTTTAAGCCCTGAACGAAAAGGATTAAAACTAATATTAGGTAAATCCGAATATATTAAAAACGATTCAAAGCAAATATGTAACTAATGAGTAAACAATATATACTAGAAAAAAAAGAATTATTGTAATTATTGTACATTTGGAGTCTATACTAGAAAAAAGAATTATTGTAATTATTGTACATTTGAGGCAAAAAGTTCAAATGAATTTTCCCCGAGGTTTCAGTATGCACTACCATATATGGCTAGTAGATTGTTAATATATATATGTTTACATGAACACATATTGATGCCTAAAATTAATCAAAGAAATATGTAATAAATTTTATCTCAATAATAATAATTTTATTAATTGATTCTATGACCTAACTAAATGCACGTAATAACATTTAATTATAAATCGTTAATGATTTAAAAAGTGATTTATTAACATAGCAAACCTATTTTCAATTAATAAAAGGGTTACGCATTATTCTAATAACATTAGAATTCCTTATATGATGATTTAATTGATTTTTGCGATACGTTAGGGGTCAATAATTGTAATTAATTATTTCTAAATTCCAAGTAACAATGTTACTTTTCTAACCATACGTATATGACACATTTTTAATTTCGATATAATTATTGGTCGACAAAGACCATCTTGCCCCGAAGGATAATCTCCATTTATTAATTAAGACCATTGATAGCAATTACGTACATACGTACGTATGTACCTATGGGGCAACTAAATACAACGCATGTATTCACCAACTTTTTGATAGTAAATCAATATGTATGTTATATGCTATACACTTCCTAATTAGCTTTTTATGCATTTACGATATTAACCATAAAGTGTCTTCTATTCATAATCGTACATGGTGCAAAATCATATAATAATGCATCGACCAAATGACATTAATTGAATTTGTAATGTTGTTAAAATGGAGTACATGGATATTTTTGTCAATGGACCGTAGCATCCTATAATAGAAATATATAATCAGTCTTCAGGTTTTCATTATTTCATTTACAATGTAATACAATTTACTGCCGAATAAAGCCAAAACTGACCCATACTATCCTATCAAATCAAGAGAGCAAGACATGAAATAATTCTGTTTGTCTTTTTTTCGGATGTTCCGCCTTCAATTAATGCTATAGATTATATCACCACACTGTTTGAAACGCACCACTGTTCGAAACGTTTAATAATTTAGTTCGTGTAGGAATTTAAGAAATAATGTTTTCTGCCAATCTATTTTGTTTTTTTTACAAGTTCTGTTTTATTTTTAAGCTCTAAAGGTTCTTGTTTATGACAACAATGATTTTTATCAGCAAATTTACTTCAAAAGCCCTGTTAATTATTGGTAGGATTCAAGCATGTTCAAAGATCAGCTATGTAAAAATTCCAGTAGTTTGTTTTTAAATACAATCAATTTCGCAATATTATTTATAATATTCATATCTTTATGTAAATTTGTTTTTTATTTTTGAACAAGGAATCATTCAAATACTGACTTTTTAAATTTAAATATTAAGTTGTTATTATTTATTTAATGCCAAAGAAAATGCAATAAATAAGGGAGGAAATGCTATGTTTACGATTTATAAAGTCTTATTATGAACTTTTGAAACGTTCTATTACAAAGCGTCATTAATGTCATTAATTCAAGCACATTAATTGACAAAACAATATCTCAAAGTTAATAAAAGGTCTGATATATTTGATTTCTTTTTGTTTTTATCAAAAAAATTGTTAACTGTTAATATGATAGAAAACAGCCTGATAAAAAAAATGAAATGACTAGAATTTGAATAATTTTACCGGAAATAATATATAATAGTAATGTTTAAACATAATATAATTTTACTAATGAGATGTCGTATGGATTTGGGGCGTCTAATTAAAAACACAGTGTAGGTATAGTGGTAGTATTAATTAAATTTTGAGTAATGGCTAGGTATGTGGGCCTATCTATCGTTAACCGACGAACTATATGATATGAAATGAGATTTCAGGTTTATTACTTACCGGATTTAGGATTGTATTCAGCAAATAATAATTTAAAATTCCAATGATGGGTTTGCTTTTGCGGTTTTAAATGAAAAACCGTATGCAGATATGTCACATAAATATGCAATGGTTTGGGATGAGGGAACGTCGATGTTACACGACTGTTCCTTCACCCGATGTGCAGCATATAAAAAATTATTTTACAATACCAGATCATTCCGCTAGTACATGTTATGATTATAATCCAACATCATTTTATCATAAGAAAAATGGTGTGGGATTATCCCTTACACCGTTTCGCAGGCAAATTTTCCTGCGAATTGCATTTTCTCGGAAAATTATAATTTAAGGGTATATGGCATCATAAGAAGACTAAATCGTTGGGTTCAAGAGTCTTCAGAAAATGCTATTCTTTTTAGCACACAGTATCTCTATTCTTTTATTCTTCGCTTACCTTTTTGGGCCCTTAAGAAATCACGTTCTTGTACCACCTCAATGTCTGATGTGTTAATAAACTAACAAATTATGATTGGCGGAAAAAAATTAAGATGTTACAGTATTAGATTAAGAATTATTATTAACATCAGCGATAAATTATTAACGATGGCAACAATGTAATTAAAAAAACTAATAAATCATATTGTTAGAAATAAAATATCTCATAGGTTTATTAGTATTAATCGATATAAGACCATTATCAAATGTACCAGGAACGGTGTACGAAGTACATAGGGTATGGTTTACTTG